AACTTAACTCATAAGCCAACTCTATCTCTACCTCACCATTTGTCATGAACTCCCATTCATCCAACACCAATGGTAAGAATCATCATCTTTGGATCTTAGACACTGGGGCAACTGATCATATTTCATATGACATTAATGTTTTTCTTAATTGCAAAAGCATCATACATGTTCATGTTAATCTTCCTAATGGCTCTCATATTGTTGCATCTATGTATGGTAGCATAGTTCTTTCCCATTCCTTAACATTGCACCATGTCCTTAACATTCTAAGTTTTCATGTTAACCTCATTTCTATTGCCAAACTTGCTAGTAACAATGACTGTTTTATGCACTTTGGTGTTGATAAATGCCAAATATTGCAGAACCATTCCAAGGCAATGATTGGTACAACTAGGCTCCAAAGAGGATTATATGTCCTTGATGCTACCAGTCAGTCATCTGTTTACAATTCTTCTTTTAATACCTCATGTAATCTTTGGCACCTAAGATTAGGCCATGTTTTTGATATAGGCATGAAACCTATTTCACAATTGTTTCCTTTTATACCATTTAAATCTAATAATATTCCTTGTGATTTATGCCGTCTTGGAAAACAAAGAAAGCTACCTTTTCCACCTAATGTATCTCATTGTACTGCTCTATTTGATATTTTACATGCTGATGTATGGGGCTCATATTCTACTATTTCTATGTTAGGCCACAAGTATTTTCTTACTTTGGTAGATGACTATAGTAGGTATACTTCAGTAATTTTTCTTAAAACCAAAGATCAAGTTCAAACCAGTCTGATTTAGAAAATAAATTCAAAACTTCTCTTAAATGCCTTAGGACTGATAATGGCATTGAATTTCTCACTTTAGCAAATTTTCTTCGATCCAAAAGCATAGTTCACCAAACCTCTTGTGTTGAGATACCTCAACAAAATGGGGTGGTTGAAAGAAAACATCAACATATTCTAAATGCAGCCAATTCTTTATACTTTCATTCCAATATCCCTTTAACAATGTGGACTTTCTCAGTCCAACATGCCATTCATATTATCAATAGACTACCATCTCCTTTATTAAAATCCAAATGTCCATATGAACTGGTGTGCTCTCAACCACCATCTTTAAGCCAGTTGAAATTTTTTGGCTGCCTCTGCTATGCTACAACTTTACAGGTTCACAAAACCAAGTTTGACCATAAAGCTAGAAAATACATCTTTCTTGGTTTCAAGGATGGTACTAAGTGCTATATTCTCTATGATTTACAACATCACACCATTTTTGTCTCAAGGAATGTTATTTTTTATGAAGACCATTTTCCTTTCAAATCTTCATAAAAACCTACTCCTATTTCTACTAGTGTCAATCCTGTCACTTCCCCATTTTGAGGATTCTCCTGCCCCACAATTTACCTCCAGTACAACTGATGTTCCTCTTTCCCTTGAATCCATCCCTTCTGGTACATCTTCTAGTTCACCTATGATAGGTCCTTTCCTATCCACCCCTAGCCCTCATTCTGCTCCATTCTCACCTCCTACCCCTAAGTCATTTCAGTGGATAGGATATCCTCCCTTCCCTTTTATACATTGGCTCTCCAATTGATGTATCTTTTCAGCCCATATCTAAGGCTAATTCTCCTTCTGCAAACTCACCTTTACCCACCAGTTATTCAGTTGGTTCTCAAGACTAAGCTTCACCCATCACTTCCCCTATTCTCTTAAGACACTTCACTCGTGTCTCTCACCCTCCTAGTTATTTGGCTGACTATCATTGTTATGTTGCATCTCATGATGAATTTGCATTACATCCTGCTAGTTCTTCTACTGCACAACCCTTATCATCTGTTATATCATATCATAAATGTTCTCCATCATATAAGCATTTTTGTTGCTCAATTTCTTCTAACATTCAACCTAAAACATATAATCAAGCCATTAAGTTTGATTGTTGGAAACATGCCATAGATGTTGAGTTACAAGCTCTTACAGAGAATCATACTTGGGATGTAGTTGATCTTCCTCCTGGTAAGCACCCTATTGGATGCAGAGGGGTTTATAAGGTCAAGTATAAAGCAGATGGCTCCATTGAGAGACATAAAGCTAGGTTGGTTGCAAAAGATTATACACAGTTAAAAGGCATATATTGCTTTGACAATTTCTCCCCTGTAGAAAAGCTTACCACAATTAGAGTACTTTTGCCCATAGTAGCTATCAAGGGATAACATTTGAAGCAGCTTGATGTTAACAATGCTTTTCTTCACGGTGATCTTCATGAAGAGGCCCACATGACTGTACCATCTGGTTTACATACTTATAATTCTTCTCAGGTTTGCAAACTCCATAAGTCTCTTTATGGATTGAAACAAGCCACTAGACAATGGTATTCCAAGATGTCTTCATTTTTTACATCCATTGGCTTTAGACAATCTTAGACAAATCATTCACTCTATGTAAAAACACCCAATATTGATTTTACTGCTTTATTGGTCTATGCGGATGATATTGTTTTGGCAGGAACCTCTTTATCAGAAATACAGCAGGTCAAGCACTTCTTATATCAAACTTTCAAAATCAAGGGTCTTGGTCAGTTGCGATTTTTTCTTGGCTTTGAAATTGCTAGATCCGCAACTGGCATATTTCTCAATCAAAGAAAGTATACCTTGGAGCTTTTAGAAGATAGTGGTTTGTTAGCATCTAAACCTTCCTCAGTTCCCTTTGACCCTACTGCCAAGTTATCTGCCCATGAAGGCCAACCTTTGAAGGATCCTTCAAGCTATAGAAGGTTGATTGGAAGATTAATATATCTTACCAATTCTAGACCTGATATCTCTTTTGCTGTGCAACATCTTAGTTAGTATGTTTCTATTCCACTCATACCTCATTATCAGGCTGCCATTTGTGTCCTTAGATATCTTAAGTCTGTGCCAGCCAAAGGGTTTTTCTTTCCAGCTTCTAGCCATCTGAAGCTGTTTGCTTTTGCTGACTCTGATTGAGCCAGATGCCCTGATACTAGGAGATCAATTACTGACTATTGTGTTCTTCTTGGATCTTCCATCTTGTGATGGAAATCCAAGAAGCAAAATATTGTCTCCAGGTCTTCCATTGAGACAGAATATCGAGCTTTGGCCTCCCTCACTTGTGAATTGCAATGGCTGCAATATCTTCTTCAAGTTCTTCAAGTCCAACTTCCACAACCTGCTGCAGTCTTTTGTGATAGCAAGTCTTCCATTTATTTGACCCATAACCCAACTTTTCATGAGAGGAGTAAGCATATAGAGTTAGATTGCCATGTTGTTCGTGAGAAGGTTCAGTCAAAACTCATTCACTTGCTACCTATTTCCGCCTTTGTCCAATTAGCAGGCATGTTCACTAAATCACTTCACTTGCCTGCTATTACTGTCCATCTTGGACAAGTTGGGACTGTGTAGTATCCATAGTCCAACTTTACTAGTTTAGATAGCATTACACTTTGTATAGTTATTATTTTGGCCCATAAACTTTTGTATATATAGCTTATTGTACATACTTTTGATAACTTAATCAATATTCAATACAGTTACATATTTACATTTTATGGTTGTAACAAACTTGCTGTTACATCTTCTTCTTCACTTGGCATCTTCCATGGAAGTTAAGCTTGTATGCTTCAGCATTAATAATTTTACATATTTACATTTTATGGTTGTAACAAACTTGCTGTTACATCTTCGTCTTCACTTGGCATCTTCCATGGAAGTTAAGCTTGTATGCTTCAGCATTAATAATTTTTAAATAATGGATGCACTGGAATGAAATATGATAAAATCTTCCATCAATTTTCATTCCCGATTAGGTCTCTCTCAAATGGAATGAACTAATTTATTTTTTTCAGCTTCGTCATATTATAAAAAATACACAAACAATACAAATGAAATATCTGTTCTATGCCACTCCATTCCATCAAATTCTATTCTGCTCCGCTCTGTTCTAATCCATCGATCCAAAGATAGCCTAATTAACTATTGTAATAATAATCACTGTTTCATTATTAATTATCTTTAATTTAAGAAATTCTAATGAGAATAGTATATATTTTTTCAATTATCAAGTATTGTAATTAACTATATTGTAATATTGAAGTTTACTAATTCATGTAAAATTGTTCCAAAGGTTTTGGGTTTGAGATATTGTAAGTATCTAGTATTAAGTATCAAAAGTTTGGCATAGAAGCTTGTTCATAGCCTGCAGAATCCATTACTCCATAGATAGTGTTGGCATTTACCCAACCTTGCTAGCTGAAAATGAAACAATTTCAATTCTAATAGCATCTTATCTTCTATTTATATTATACTCCATTATTTAAAGAGGAAACTGTTCTAGCTAGCATCGATGTCCTATGGTAAGCTGTCAATCTGATTGCATTTCTCAACCAATTCTTCTAACAAACTCCATTTATTTTGTTCTCATCATTAACTCATAACTACCATAACTACTTTTGATTCTAACCACACATAAGATGGCATAAAGTGCGTATTCATGTACTTTTAGATAACTTGAAATTCATTTTGGATTTTTTTGGTATAAAGTTTAGTGTATTCATGTAATTTTAGAAGAAAAAAACAGCGAATTATTATCTGTTTACATAGGAATAGCGTGTACATTTTATGTTGTAATAATAGACTTCATTTTAGTAGAAGCATACTAGGAATCAAACTTTGGCAAATCATAGAGTAAAACACAAGCAAATCACAATGATGTATACACAAAAACTCAATAGTTGTCTTCAAAAAGGTGATTGAAGTTGAACGCAACCCATTGATGTTACATCACTAGAGAACATCTTCAATCCTTTCATCAAACTGGGTCCATCATTATTGTGCAAAGTAGCAAAAGTAAACTATTCATGATAATGTTTTTTTATTCTTTATTCGCCACAAATTAGAAAGTGTCATTAAATATTTGATACCTCATTGTGTTGTACACACTTGAAAAACTCATCTTTTTCATAATGTTTCATTTGTTATAGCATAATACAATGAAACTCTCAAGAATTTTTCATAACTTTCAAAGAAATCAGTTCATGAAGCTTCAAAGGAAAACAAGAGTTACCTCTTCAGTGACACTTGGTAATAATGTTGAAAGAAAGGTGACACTTGAGTGTTTGGTTAGAAAACTATTTTATAAGTTGAAGAATTGCTGGAAACAATCTCTTGGGTGGAAAAGGAGGACTCCACAGTATAGCTATGATCTTCAAAGCTATTGTCTTAACTTCGATGATGGCATTTCAAATGATTGTATGATTCCATCTCATGTTTGTTGATGATTTTTTTTGTTTAATCTTTAGCTTTTTTATTGAATTATGATTAAGTTTACATAGTGTTTGTTGTGTTTTGTAGTCATATGATAAAATACTATACAAATTGTATGACTGTAACATTTTTTGGGGTAATAGTAATATAATTGTTAATTGATTTCAGATCTTTGTTATCAAATAACTTTTCTTTCGTCAAGGAATTTGGAACCAAGTGTTACGTTACTTTTAATTTTAGCCTTAGTTTGGTTTCTGGTATATGAAAATTGTGTGAGTGGTTATAGTGATGTCTTTCTTGTAAACCTTTCTTATCTAATGATATGTTTTTGACATTCAATTGACAATGTTTTGATATGCAGGAATTTACTTCCCATCCCCTCGGCCGTACCTTCCATCCTGCCTTTAAATCGTATGAAAATATTGTTATGTCCTTCTGACGAATAAGAAAAAAATTCTAAATATTTTAATTTTACAACATAGATGGTAGGGGTGGGGATAGACCGGTTCGAGTTGAGCTCTACTTAATCGAATTAGACCTACTTAAAAAAATAGAAGTTTGAGTTTGACATATAACTTATTATAGGATAAGTCAAATATACGGTGCCAGATGAACATACAAGCAGTGTTATAGGCCGCCAGAAGATGCGCAACATGTCACCCAGAATATGCCATAAATCACCTTGATTGAACACGGGCCATCGAACCGGCTTATCATTCGGCCGCTTAATAAAATATGGTAGTAATGTGTTCCCACAATAAGTGATAAAAAAATCAGTCATTGAAAAAACTGTTCTTCCTATAATAGAGGAAAAATTGGTCTCCAGGGATTCCCACTATCTGACCCATGGAGCCTTTTATATATACATCATTCCCATAATGGAGAAGATATATTCATTTTTCTTCTTCTAAGAAACATATACAAAGTTTCTCATCTATCTCCCACTATCTGACCCATGGAGCTTTTTATATATACATCATTCCCATAATGGAGAAGATATATTCATTTTTCTTCTTCTAAGAAACATATACAAAGTTTCTCATCACTCTGCGTGAGCTAACTCTAAACACTATCAATAACCCTAAGTTTTCCAAGTCCTTTGTCTATATTGTTTCCTCCTTCGACCAGAACCTGCTTATATGAAAAATAAATGAGATTGAGGTGAAATACTAATCTTAGTGTAGTTCCCTATCCTACGAGTCCACTAGAATCTAAATGTGTCTATTATCACCACATTAGCCTAATACTTCACTTACGTATTAGTGAAGTGAAATAAGAAATCATAACTATTAAGTTCTCACCAAGCGTGATCATACGATCACCATTTAGCACATTCGAAATAACGCGTTTAAGAGAACAATTTTTTATCAGATACATAACACAGATACATAACACAGTAACATCAATTCTTACATACTCGGTCGAGATAGATATTCTAGTGCAATGTTAGTCACATTATAGAGAGAATTATTAAACCTCATCCATTCAAGCAAAGGCTTTACGATAAGACCTACCCCCAGAGTCCTAGAATTCCCTCCTTGGGATTTACACACCTAGTCATATCCTATTAGATCCAAGTTACTTCACATAAGAGAACGAAGCTCTTATTGCTTCCTCGCACACAAACATCGACTCTTATAACTACGCGGTCGAGTTGATGCATATGTTAGGAAAAGGTTATCCTTTTTGAACATATCAAATTACTAAGCCTTATCCATTCATGAGGGTTTTACGGGGCTACCTACCCCTGAGAGTCCTAAAAATATCCACCTTAGGAACTTACATACCTACACATACTCCACTATTGACCGATATAGGTATTCCTACCGCTCTCGGTCTAACATAATCTTATGCATTCCCACTTACCCGTTAATATCCTTTAGGTAAGTGGAAGTACATATAAAGATTAAACATCACCTTTCCCTAGTTGATATCCTTTAAAGGAAAAGCTACTCACATACCAATTAATATTCTTTAGGTAAGTGCTCACATACACAATCGCTTACCAACTAGGGTATTCACAATTTCTCAATCGATTAAAGGCACTCACTTACTGGTCAATATATTTTAGCTAAGTGTTCACATTATACAATCGCTTACCAACTAGAGTATTCACGATTCATCAATCGATTGGAGACACATAAGGTCATTCCACCTAGTTAGCGTTTAATTACGAGTATCTAACTCAATTAGAATCTACATGCTCATTGTTAACAAAATAGGGTTTCTCCACTTTTACCAAGTTTTTCCCATTAGGAAAGCATACAAATACACATCATTAAGATTTCACATTGGCCTATCCTAAATTATTTAACCTAAATAATTTTCTCTTACTTCAAACGTTAATTAAACAATTGACTTTCACGCATTCTTCACTTAGTGATACACATCACTTACGCATACAATTGTCAAGAGGTTCTAGTATGGTGGCTGCCCTTGATCACTCATATACTATCATGAGGATTTTCATATTTATTAAAACAATTAAGGTTCCCATAAATCTTACATAATTGGGGAATTTTTGAGTGATTTACATCTCAATTCCCTGGACTACAGTTGTACACATCTAAACAAGACAAGCATTGCACCTCAATTACGTTAACTAAGCACACATAAACATGGGAATGCATAGTAAATTCACAAATAGAAAACATGAACACAAGCATAATCAAGTATCACCATAATATAGGGCTTTAAACTATATTTCCAACGCACTCAACCGCGTCTCTATCGGGATTACAAAACAAAACTTTTTTTTTTTGGAGTTTTTTTCAAGGTACATAACCGATTACGCCACACCCCCTACAATTTTCAGGGCCCTGCTACGGCCACCATAGCAGCTGCTAAGGCCCGTATCAGTGCCTAGAAAGTTGAGATTTCTCTCATGAGTTCTTCCACCTAAAAGTGTTCAAAAAGCCAGCCCCACACCGTCCATACTGATTATATACGAAATTTGCAGTTAAACACGCGTTACAACACACAATTCATCGATAATCATAGACAAGGAGGATGTTTGATCTAAATTCAATCTAACCATCTTCAAACATGATTTCCCAAGTTCTTGAGACACATTCATCTCCATCAATAATGAGCAAGCAAGGGCAATGAACAAGTATAAGCACAAGCAGCAAATTAACATGTGTTTCATGCTATCATGTATCAAGGTAACATCATCAAATATCATTAAGAAATAACAATCAATAACATCAACAAAAACATCAACATGCACAACAATCCCTAACATGCAAGGCTAACACTAACTATGAACCCCACCTTAAAAATATTGAACCCTAAAATTGATGCTTAGGAGATGAAGATGATGGTGATCATAGCCCATTCAATGATCATTCTTCAAGAAACTCTTAAAATTTCATACACGCACTTGAAGAAAGTTGGATTTTTGCTCAATCTCCTCCCCTCCCCTTTTCACTCGGCCTTCCCTCTCTCTTATCTGCCAATCCTCTCTCAATTTTTCCTAATTGTTAGAAAGAGTAAAACATGTGAAAATGATGACGAAAGGTCCAATCACGACTTAAATAGAATCCACGCCAAAAGACACATTTACCTTTGGAGTTAGTTCCAATTTACTAATGACTATAATTAACACAATTAATCTCTAACCATTAGTCCTAATCTCAATTATTCCACATGCATAAGTATTTAAAACCTAGGGTATTATAGAAATATCCATAAGATCAAAGTTTTAACTTCATAAATCAATTTATTAACTTTAGAGCGAACCATAATTTTCTTATGAGGATAAAAGCTTACTATATTAATAATAACTATATGAATTAGTTTATAATCAATTCTTTCTCATTCGACTTTGTTCTTTAACTATATCTGTCTTCCAATCTCAAAATCCTCAAAGAACTTTGAAAATTCTCCCTTCCAATATTATTTAATTTGTGTCATCAAAATTTATATTTCTCAAACATTTCAAAAATTATATATTGTTATAAGTCATAACCGAAAGACTTTAATAATATTTAAATTTAAAAGATAAATTGAATCATAAAAATAATATAATAAAAAATTGAATCATAAAAATAATATAATAAAAAATTGAATTATTAAAAAAAGTTCTAATAATGATTCATCAAATTTTCTTTTAAATAAAAATATAAGTTAACGACGACAAACTACCAAATACTTAAAAAATATTAAAATTCATCGAAGTTGTCAACTCCATATTAATGTGTATTCATCATCTTTGAGCATTTATCAGTTTAAATAATATTTTCATAATTTTTCTTGATTTTCAAGAGTGTTATTTTATTTTCTCTTGCTTTAACACTTTCTTTATCATACACTTTATAAAATAATATTATTAAATAAGTATTTTTTATTTTAACTTAATTGTGCAAAGAGAATACAAAATATTAAATTTTTGAGTAAATTATCCGATAGTTAAAAAAAATTACAACACCTCAGCAAGATTAAAATATTACAACAAAAAAAAAAAACTAAAATACGTCATTTATTTATTTAATCTTAATGAGATACTATCTCTACAATTAGAGTTTCTTTATCTGGTTATTGCTTTAAAATTGCCTTAGATTAAAACAAAGAAAATATGACAAAATTTGTGCATCTTAAATGATAAAAAAAGGGAATGCCATACTTTAATCATAAATTAAATTTATCTTTAAAAGAGAACAACAAAAAAAAGTAAATTTTACTCACCAAAATACCAATTGCACCATTGATATTAAGTCTTCACACTAAGTTCGTGTCTGAGGTTCACCTTTTGGATACTGTGATACAACAAATTGTGCAATGGTTAAAGATAACTTCTCCAATGACTCTACTTTTGTTGAAGCCACCTTCAATGTGCAAGATGTGAACCCTTATGACAAGGAGGACTTGGTCATGATTAGTCAGAGAAATGAGGATTTTCTTGCCAAATCTTGGGCTAATATGGGAGATTAAGAAGTGGAGGCCAACCCTGATTGTAATAGTGATAGATTCCAAATTGTCAAATCTAAGAAGAAGAAGGGTAGTCAAAACA